GTACGTAGTACGTACGTAGTACGTAGTACGTAGTACGTAGAGAGTAGAGAGAGAGAGAGAGAGAGAGAGAGAGAGAGAGAGAGAGAGAGAGAGGTTTTACTGCTCCAGTCCATTGCTTCCCACTTAGTGGGTGCCCGAACCACATGCATGACAGGAGGATGCTCACCAACTGCATTTTGAAGCAGAAATAGCATTGTTTTGGTTTTATGTAATTGTTAGGAACCCGAGTTTTAATAATATCAAAGCAAAAAACAAAGACTAGAATGGGTGATTCATTTATCAGACCTGTCTTGTTGTCATTATGGTGGCAAAAGTTAGCGCCCCAAGTATCCGAATTGTGTAGGAAATGAAGAACTGACTGATTGTTGCCACCTGCAAAATTGAACCAAAGTCATCCTTCTAAAACTAAAGGTCAATTAAAAATAATGTAAGTATATGCGAATGAATTCCTCCCTTCAAATGTAATACAACACATATGGACCATTAAAAGAAACACAGATCATGGAGCAGCGGTCCTCATCATAATGAGATACATCATGACAAGAACACTATTATATTTGTTCTTATAATACCAGAACATGAATGGATTGTCATAACCGATAAAGGTTGAAATAATACCCAATTTGTCAAATTAGAGCCAACGACAACTACAAATGGCTTTGGAATTGATAGGTAAACCATTAGTAGTAGATAATGACACTTTTTCTTTGATAATTTAAATGACAATGATATGTGATGTCATGATGAATCTTATGTTGTGATCCACTATAGCATGGGATGATGCACATGCATAATGAAAAGTAAAACATCAAATTTGGTATGGGGTGATGCACATGCATAATGAAAAGTTAAACATCAAATTTGGTATTACTTCATGTGTTACTTATAGTGCTCGCTAATAAACATCAGGTAACAAATCTCTATTTCTCAGCATTCACATCCAGAGAGGATAGAGGTTCCTATCCAGAGCGGGTATTACTTGATGTGTTACTTGTAGTGCTCGCTAATAAACATAAGCTAACAAATCTCTGATTCTCAGAAGTCACACCCAATGACGATAGAGGTTCCTATCAAGAATGTTATAAATTGGGCCAGAACTGATTCCAGAGGGACAAGTTAATATGTGAATGGTATTTTTTAACGAGATATGTGATTAATTTCAGACCCACATGTATTATTTGTTCTGCTTGTCTAACTTTTCATTTGAAGCATGCAATTGTTTTGGAGCTTTTATGATATCAACATCAATTATTCACAGCTAAGGTTGTGAGAGTAGATAAAAAAATCTATTAAATTAACTGGCATTTCTTGACATAAATTAACTGACAGACAAATTTCCTGGGATTTGGACACTTTGTGATCTGAATTTTGAAAATTGACATCATATTTAAAAGTTTGTTAAAATTTTGAAGTCAATAATCTCAGCAGACATATATTTACAATTTCAAACAAACTTATAGCCATAATGCCTGAAACTTGCAAACCTATTGATTTTGGGAACAGGTAAAAATACCCAAAAATGTTACACTATGGTATGAAAACCCAAAACAAGACTCCAATATATCAGTCCTCATACAGCAACAATAACAGGACTTACAGTAGAGAGAAACACAATATCAAAGAAGCAATCTTGGTGGTGGAATACGAAATCTATAGCTTGAAGAAGATGTCCTTGAAATATAAGACCTGCAAACAAAGCATGGAGAAAATCACAAGTTAAAAACTAGGAAAAGAGCACAAGCAACTCTTTAATTACAAGATGTCGATACAGTCAGTAGATGACATCGCATTTTCCTACTAAACTAGAGTCAACTGAAATAAACAGTTGGAATGATAAAGGACCGACTGGACTTACCATTCAAGCTAATAACACATGAGCACATGGTTGTGTAGAATATTTGATTGTAGATCTCCATATTGTATCCCTTAAATAACTTGTCCTGAAATGTGCTTGTGAAGCCATCAAACCTGTGGAACATAAGAAAACCAAGGTAAGAAGCCGATGATTCCTAACTTCAAAACAAATAAAAAACTGAATTAGCAATTCAATCAGGAAATGTATACATACAAGGAGATCACAACTACTATTGACTATTATATGTAAAATTGGGTGGTTGGAAATGTGTCAATGACTAGGCACAATGTCCAAAATAAAGTTTTTCGAATATTGTGACATACTTTAATCCATTGAATATCACATGCAATAGCTAAGAATGATTGTGACCTCCTTTACAAAAAGTAAATGGTAACATATATAGTCCCATTAAATCATGGATGAGGAGGAGCAAGGTCCCATAATAAAAAACTGATGAATATTTTCTGGAAACCACCACCCATAGAGGATGAATTTCTGATGTTGGAAACCAATCATACAAAGGAGAAAATTATCTTTGGAGAGCCTAAGTTTGTGCTTTCCATGCCAAACCATCCATGACAAAACCAGGTTGACCCAACTGGCAATAAAAATTTCAAAGACAACTAAAACTAGGATGATGATATGTAGAAAAATAGGAAATAAAGAAATTTGTAATAGCATAAAAAAACTAAATAGTGTTACCAAATTTCCATTTTGGGCATGTAAAACGTGCTACCTCAGGCTAAATACCTACTTAGTAGGATTTATTTGATATGAAATTTTGTGAATCGTCCGAGAAACACCAGATGAGTAATTTCAACAAAACAAAAAAAAAAGATTTTGATTTTTTGAACCTAGATCTAGCCATCCAAAAAATGAACATTCTATGTTGAATCCTAACGTATGAATTTCTCTGGAGAGCTTTAGAATGTGTATCCACTTTGAGTCCAAAATTACTCTTAGATAGGGTTTCACCTAGGGGAGAAAATGTAAAATGTGCTCAATGGAAGCATATAATGTTATTCCTTGGTATTTAGCATACCCTAAGGATTAAATAATCAGCAAAGAGATGCTGAAGGAAGTCAACCTTTTCTCAAAAAAAAAAATAATGTTTAAGAACCGAGATCATCGTCATTATCATCAGAGCCTTATCCCAACTACTTGGGCTACACGAATCATTATGTTATTTTGCTATATTGAGGGTCATAGCCTCAATAAGACCATAACTAGCTATATTGTTTATCACTACTTCCATCCATGTCCTTGGAGCCTTCCTTTTACCCTTTTAGAGCCATCCACTTGAACCAAAATCACACTTCCTAACCAATGTTGTATTGGATCTACGTTGCACATGGACTGCCCACCTAAGTCTAGTTTTCCTCATCTTGTCACCTATTGAAGCCACAACAAAGTTCCCTCCAATGTATTCATCTCAAAATGGAACCGTCATTCGAATCAAGGCAATTAATCAGAGATAGATCCCAACTCAAGTTGGGCCCATGAGTTTGTTCAACAAGAAGAACTGCGGATGAAGCACAATCCTCGTGGCCTCCACCATCTCCAGTAGGGAGGCATGGACTTTCAAATTCCTTGATATAGATGACACATTCCTCAATACAAGTGTCACATTCATGGAGGACAACACATAAGGGGATTTGGGGATAAGCACAGAGGGATCTAGAAATGTGAGTCTTCGAGTAGGAGATTCCAGTCTTTGAGGGATCTTGAAATGTGAGTCCATATGGAAAAGAAACGGAACACAGGGTTTAAGTCTTAAGGGTCTCGGGACGAGTACACTCTCACATGAGACTCCATTTGAGTTTCCATCAGGCCCTTCACGACATGATTAAGTTTGCATACTATGCCAAAATTAATAATCCAATAATGCAACGATGAGCAAAAGGGGAAACACAGTTGACATGATGAAACCGCAGAAAAACAATGGGACTTGATACATCCCATAAATCCTATACATTTGGCACAATAAAACAGATTTGATGTTGAGATTTAGAAGAAAGCTTCCCGTTAACAGAATGCTATAGGAATAAAATAGAGAAGAATTTCTGAGAGCATACCATTCACATACGAAAATTAGACAGCAAAAACATGATCTTTGAACAGACTTTATAAAGTATCATGCATTTAGGCTATATCATCAATATTTAATGTTAATATGATTACTAATGCTATAGCCAAACAGAATAAGCATCTAAGTTCATCATACCCAAAAGATGAAATGCAGACTTCCAAATGAGTACTAAGACCACTTCTTCAATGAATATGAAATGATTGCCCAACATCCATGCGTATAAACCTCACAACACAGATAAAAGCACATCAAGGTGGAATCCCAATTCACCCACTGGAGATATCATACAAATATACCCCCCTGTATTTTTTCATAATTTTATAGAACTTACTTGAGGGGCATTTTGGTCTTCTCTCTTTTCAGATATGCCCAAATGTGCGTGTGGGTGCACAAAAGCAACACTTGTAAAACATAGTTGCTTTCATCTTTAGGAGGATATCTCTGCATTACACATTGTGTCTTGATAAAGTGCAACAAAAAATAGTGGTTTATATGAATTTAATTGTCGATTTACCACTTGTCCAGCAAATAAGTAAATCAATTAATTAATTTGCACTTATAAGTTCCTAGACTTCTTCTAATAAACAACTCCCACAAATATAATCAAAGGAACCTGATATTTAGTTGCAAATCCGCAAGGGGAATATATGCTGTTTACTTACCCAAGATAACCAACCATTAGAGAAATGCCCCAAACGGTGCTTTCTCTCCCGTTACTGTACTGGCTGATGTCACCTGCTGCCTACATAGAAATTAAACCTCATTAATTCATTTAAGCCTACACTCCCTAGAACAAATTAGATAACAAAATTTTTGGCGTAAAAATGAAATCTTATTCCCAATTGCAAATTAGGAAAACAAAATGCTTCTTAGATGTTATGATGATATATGGAAAAAGTTTAGTTCTTAAAATTTATTACGACACATGGACAAAACTTATTTCCTATTGCAAAGTAGGAAAATAAATTATTCCCTGACATTCATGATAATATATGCATAAAATTTTATGATGAACAAATTACCCCTGATTCTACTTTTTTCTACAGTCCATTTTCATAATGATCCTTCAAAAACGTTTTAGAGCACAGTGACCCCTTAAAGTTTAAGCATTAAAAATTAAAAACAAATAAATAAAAGCCTATTATCAGCATGCTAACTAATAGTGTCAGCTTGCATTTTGGTCCAATTCACCTTTGAAAATGGTTATGGATCCAACAAGCTATGCAATTTGCAGCATACAGCAGGTTAAAGATACCACAGACTACAGCTTTGGCATGCTAACGATGCAACGTGAAGCTGATCATGACCTTTTATCATAAAATTTGCCATCCTTGGAAACCACTAGGTATGAAAGTCTATTAATAAAGTTAGCAAGTTTCAATGAACTAATGGGAATGGTAAAATCCTAAAATCCATATTGTGACAAATTCAGCAACGGTCCAAAAGGTTTTGCCAGATTGAATTAGAATAATTTGAGCTCCTGTGAACAACAATCCTAAGCAAAAGAAAATAACATAATTACTATTGCATAGTCTGGATCAAATTGCCAAGGTTACCATTGGTTTATTGGGAACCAGAAATTCTTTTCTGTATTGCCTCCAGTGTTGTAAAACCCATCTTCATGGACAAACCGACAAAACTTAGATCAAGGGCCCAGCCAAGGGTGTGTGTTGCATTGGATCTAGATACCATTTGTTCGACTGAAGTTTGGCTGGATTTTTTTGGGAAGCAGTATAGGCAAGAGATAGTCTATGAGTTCATACCCTCGATTTGTTCCACGTGTCGGAGGGCGGGCCACAAGCCCATATTATGTCGAGCAGGCTTAAGTGCAAAGGCTTCCATCAAGGCTAGTGCAACAATTGTTCCAATGGTGATACTTCTGTAAAATTACCTTCAAGGGAAGAAGGTTGGAAGGTAGTCAAAGGGAGACAACAGTTAGTTTACAAATGGAAGAGGAAGGAAAGCACTGTGGCTGCTTCAACCCTTCCCTTTTTGTCAGAGAAGAATGATGTTGTTGTCTCTCTTGCTAACAATAGAGTGGATCCGAAGGATATTTCTAATGCTTTTACAATTCTAGCCAATGTACATGAGGATAACGGGGGGTCTCTTATTGAGCAGGCAGTTAGCTCTTCTGAGCCAAATTTAGTTGACATTTACATTCCGTTAGGCGATTCGGATACGCAACAGGAGTATGAGTTGACAGCTATGACTCATGTTGTTAATACTGGTGGTGTGTTAGAAGAAGTCGCGGCTCTATCGCTAGTGACTGGAACGACACCTGTTGAGGATGGCGACTCCTCACTATTGTCTCTGGACCAACAGGCCTCTAAGAAGATATGTGAGCACAGTTCCAAGCAGGTTAACGTCACTGCCGTCATCGCGAATGATGGGGAGTATGATATAGACAACCTGTTGGATCACTTACTTGTTAAGGATCTGAAAACCCCTGCTCATGTGATTGGGCCACAGGGGGGCACGCGGGAGGATGGCATGGGGAATATTGTTGGTGGTCATAACCCCATGTTCATAGCCGATAAGGTGGATGTTTCTAGTAAACGAGTGCGGAATTATGCGAATAGTGAGAAGCTTCCTCAAGCTCGAACTAGGTCGCAATTAAAAGTTTCTTTGGTAGCTTCTGGTAACAAGAGGGGTCATTTTTCATCAGGTACAGGTAATACAAAAGGACTTATTCCAGCTTCTATTGATGACAAGATGGGGTTACCCCATAAAGCTCAGCGTGCTCATACAGCTCCTGAAAGTAAGGGTCCACTTACCAAACGTCCAAACCTTTGATTTTATTTATGTCTATTGCTGCTTGGGATGTTAAGGGCGTTCAGGGCCAGAGCAGAATATCAGATATTAAAAGGTCAACATAATCTTGGTCTTATTTTCTTATTGGAAACTAAACTTCCAGTGGAGCTAAGTCATATTCGATTTAAAAAGTTGGATTTCTATAATAACTTTATTGCTAATGAGATTGAGGGGAGATCCAGAATTTTAGTCCTTTGGAACCCTCTAATTTACTCAATCAAACTGATTGAGGGCAATGATTAAATGATTACTGTGGAGGTGACCCGTATTTGTAATGGTAATATTTTAGTGATTTCAGGAGTGTATGCCTCTAATTATGTATCGCAAAGGGCCTTGCTATGGGATCCTATGAGGACCTTAGGAGCAACTATTGCTCTTCCCTGGCTGGAACTGGGGGATTTTAATACGCTACTGGATCCCTCAGAATCAGTGGGGGGGAGTAGTTCTCTACCATCAGACTCGGGCGATTTTGCACAAGTAATGACGGATTGTGCTCTTGCTGATCTTGGTTTAGTCAGAGGATGGTTCTCCTGGTCTAATAACCAGTTGAGCAGAAGATGCATTCGAAGAAGGTAGGACCGAGCTTCAACTACTACTGATTGGATTTTGGCCTTCCCTGACTCTAAAGTCCAGTTACTCCCTAAAGGTACCTCAGATCACTGTCCCTTACTCGTTTCTACTTCTGATCTGGATCCCGTTGGGCCCAAACCTTTTAAGTATTTTTCTATGAGGGAGCAGCATGAAGGTTTTCTAGATGTTATCTGTAATTCGTGGCGAGGCCAAGTGGGGGGTACTCCCATGTACCGTTTTGTGGCTAAACTTACGGCTAACTTACGGCTATGGAATAATGAGGTGTTTGGCTTTGTTGGGGAATCCATTGCTATACTTCGTCGCCAACTATCATCTTTGCATGATAGTCTACACATGGATCCTTCTAATGAGACTCTCTTGTCTCAGGAAAAGGAATATACACAGAAATTGCAAACTCTTCTGGCCAATGAAGAAAGATTCCGGAGGCAAAAATCAAGACAAAACTGGTTAAAAGAGGGGGACTCCAATACCAAATATTTTCACTTATCAACCGTGGACAGAAGGAGGTCTGATAGAATTATCTCTTTGAAAGATCAGAATGGAAATCTCTTGTCTACTGAGAATGATATTGAAAATCATATGATTGGCTATTTCAAAGACTTACTGGCTCAAGAAAGCAATGTTGACCTTCACATGGTTGATCAGGACTTGCCGCCTTTCCATCTCAATCCTTCTCAAAAGGACAAATTAGTGGACGCAGTATCTATGGAGGAAATTAAAGCATGTATTTGGGATATGAAAAATGAAAGTGCTCCAGGACCAGATGGCTTTTCAGTGGATTTCTACAAGTTTCGATGGGAAGTCATTAAAAATGATCTTTTTCTGACCCTTAAAGATTTCTTCACTAAGGGTAAGCTGTTCAAGCAAATCAATTCTACCTTTATTTGTCTGATTCCTAAAGTAGATGCTCCTAGGGTGATGAAAGATTTTCGACCTATAGTGTTGTGTAATGTTTTATACAAAACCATCAGCAAAATAATCTCTAATCGCCTACGAGTTGTTCTTGCTGATTTTATTGACCCTAGGCAGGCCGCTTTTTTGAAAGGTAGGCTTATTACTGATAATATTCTCATGGCAAACGAACTTATGTCTCTTTGTCATAAGAACTCTGATCGACCTAAAATGTGTCCGCAAATCGATTTGAGCAGTGCCTATGACAGAGTTTCCTGGGACTTTATAGTGGGTAGGATGCATGCTTCGGGTTTTCTTGAGCTATTTATTTCCTGGGTTAACTAATGTATGTCCACTACTTCTTTCTCTGTTCTGAGGAATGGCTCACCCAGAGGTTTTTTTAAAAGTAAGCGAAGTTTGAGGCAAGGGGATCCTCTATCTCCTTATCCTTTTTTGCTGGTCATGGATCTTTTTAGCCGTCAGCTTGATTGTGCTTTTTTGCAAGGTATGGTTCATAGGGCGTTCCCTTCAGGGTGTGACTATGGGGTTTCGCATCTCTTTTATGCTGATGATGTGCTTATTTTCTGTGAGGCTTCCATCTTTACTGCCACAACTATGCAAATACTTATTCAAAAGTTTCAGAGGAGTACTGGTCAGATTTTGAACTCTTCTAAAAGCAAGGTCTTTTTCTTTAGGGCACCACGAGGAGGACGGGGGGAGAATTCTGAGGGAGTTAAAGTTTGTTGAAGGGTTTCTTCTGGTTCGCTATTTGGGCCTACCACTATTTTGTGGACATCTGAAGCACAGTTATTGCCATAATCTGGTGGGTACGGTGTTTGGTAAGATCTGGTCTTGGTAGCCTTTATGCGTCTCATATGCCGATCGACTTCAACTGCTAAAGTCTGTTTTAGGGGCTTCATCGGTTTTCTGGCTATTATCCTTCATTCTTATGAAGAAAACATGTAATATGATAGGGAGACTACAGAGAAACTTCTTATGGGCCGGTAAGCAGAAAAAAAAGGTGTTCATCTGATAAAATGGAAAACAATATGCTTGCCTATGGCTGAAGGAGGTCTTGGGGTAAGGGATATGGCGCAATATCGCAGGTATGATGAAGTTAGCATGGAGGATGTTCGAAAATCCATCTGTGTTGTTGGCACGATTCTTCAAACATCGATATTTTAGAAATTCGTCTATTTGAGAGGCTGAAGGCAGAAGAGGATGTTCTCATGCATGGAAGGGGATTTTACTTGGTTTATTTCATTTGAGAGGCAATGTGTTGTGGAATATCGGTAATGGTCAGTTGGTGGATTTCTGGATGGACCCATGGTTAGCAGGTCAGCCTCTTATCCACGAAGCTGACATTTAGGAAGCTTTGGGGGCTACAGTAGGAAGGAGGGTTTCAGATTTTATCAGTGGAGCTCCTCAAGGTTGGGTTCTGCCGCATCCCACATCTGATTCTTTGAGGAATATATGGAGAGGTTGAGAATTATACACTCCCTCTACAGCCCAAGAAGGACTCACTAGTTTGGATTCATTCTGCTGATGGAACTTTTTCTATTAAAAGGGCATGGAATTTTATTAGGCATCAAGGTTCTTCACAACCTATTTTCCGTGCACTTTGGTCCTCCAAATGCCACCCAAGGGTGAAGTGGTTTTCATGGCTAGCTTGTCATAATCGATTACCCACTTCATTCTTACTACAGCAGCAAGGCATGCAATTGGACTCTTTATGTCCCTTTTGCAGTAACCATGAAAACAATCTTTTTCATCTGTTATTTCAATGTGCCTTTGCACAGGATGTATGGAGATCATTCGCTTGGAGATGTGGAAAAAGTTTGTCCTTGGTACCTCTGTCCCAGAACTACTCAGGTAGTGGTTACTCTTCAGATTTAAATCACATGGACTTCGTAATATTCGGTCTTCCATCTTTTTTACTGCTGTTTGGTTTCTATGGGGAGATCGCAACAGAAGAGTTTATGAGTTAAGACCCACAAGGAGAGAGCTCATTGTTAAAAGGATTACCATGCATGTTCAGGCACTAGCAGAAGTTAAGAAATGGTCTTTCATTTATCAGAAAAGGCAATCATTGGTAACCTCCAGATAACTTGGCAGCATCAGAGAGCTGCGACCTTTACCTTGGTAGCGTGGTCTTTTCCTAAGACTCACAATTACAAACTAAATATTGATGGTGCTTCCTTGAGAAATTCAGGCTTAATAGGTGCTGGTGGAGTTATCAAGAACAGTGCAGGTGGTTTTATTGCTACTTTTGCAAAGCACTTTGGTCTTGCTTCCAATAACCATGTAGAATTTTTGGCTTTTAAGGAAGGAGTTCAATTGGTTATTCAAAGTAATTGCTTTCCAATTCAGATTGAACGTGAATCGGCTTTGCTTGTGAATGTCATTCAGAATCGATGCAATGCTCCATGGAGGCTAAAGACGATTGTTGACAATTGTCGCACCAGGCTGTCTTCTCATCGATGGTCCATCACACATGTCTTTTGTGAGGCTAACATGGTTGCTGATGCCCATGCTAAGAGGGCAGCTGCTGGCCCCGGTGCAACTGTGTGGCGCCATAGACCACCAGATTTTCTTTCTTCTCTTTTATTACATGATCTGGCACAAGTGCCCTTTCATAGGGTTGTACCTTAATTGTTTTCCTCTAGCTTTTTATTAATGAAAAACGGGTAGGGGGCCTTCTCCCCCACTGACTTACCCAAAAAAATATGCCTACAAAAAGATGCAACAAAATGGTTTACTGAATTTCCTGATGCTAAGCTGTGTCCCAGAAAATAAAAGTACCCATACAAAAATTTACAAATCCTCAGCTAAGAAGAGAACCAAAATGAAGTTGCTAAATCTGATAATAATAGTTATTGACTCACTGGATATAGAATGAATAAAGAGCACCCAATTGTCACTAGCACAGCCAATAGATAGTCTTGTCCTCCGTATCCCTGCCGCATGATACATGCGCTCCAGACCTGTCAAAAAATAAATTAATTCTGGATAAAGAAAAAATTTTTGTGAAAAAAGTAAATTAATTCTGGATAAAACAAAAATCTTAGGAGGCCCTATATAATTCCAGGTCTTTCATCTTTTAGAAAGTCATCCATATTAGTAATAAGCCACACAAAATGAGGTTAAGAAAGAGCATTTGAATATAAGAATACCAGGCATTTCAACAAATGACTTTCCAGAGAAAAAATCAGCAATTTTTAGGTTCTCTCAATTGCTTTAAAAGAATAGGGAACTTTCCAAAATATACCATAATTTTTGGATTATTGGAAATAAACCTCAAACTTTCCAAAACCTCATCCATATCCCTTTTTTCGGGTGAGCAGACAAAAATAGCCTTCATAGTAGTCTTAGAACCGTGACACGGTCTATTGAAAATTGTGATGGTCATGGCTGGTTGTAATAAGTCAACTGCAGTTTTGAAGCATCACGATGGTTGGGCCCGGTCTTCGTTGTTCGAGGACCCAGTGTTAGGTCGGCTTGCGAGAGACCCCCTCTCGAAAAACCGAATGCCCGTACTCGTGTGTGTCATGTGTGCTAGGCGTATGCACAATGTGTGGATAGGTTGCCCAAAGGTGAGAGGGATTTTGTGCGGCGAGGAGTTCAGGAACCTGCCTCATCGCGGTTGGGTGCAGGGACACGTCCGAGCTCTTGGGAGCCCTCTTAGATCAGTCAGAGAAGGCCCCCCGACCTCTTCGGCGCGGTTTGGTCCTTGCTCCCTTTCTGTCCACATGGTGCTCTTGTCTTGTCCTCATTTTATGGACCCAGGGATTTAGAGTCCTTGGTTCGTCCCATGGATGGCTTTGAGTGATGAGTCTTAGGAAGGCTAAGGCTCGGGTTTTGGATGGGGGTAGAAGAAAGTAGATAAAACGAGAGAAGGGGTAAGAGAACCACTCTTCAATCTTGCAACCTTTCGACGTCACCTCCCCTAAGAGGCTTTGCCGATTAACCAAGAAAGGTATTAGGCCTAGACCTAATACCCCATAGGCAAGGAAAGGTGCAGACTAACAGGGTGCTCTGAAGCTCCCAAGCCAACCTATGTGCAAACATTTCGTAGAAGAGTGGAGACGAAAGATAGAAGAAGAAGGAAAGCCGAAGATGAGGGGAGGAGAGAGCTCTTCAATCCTGCAACCTTCCGGCATCACCTCCCCAAGGAGGCTCTACCAGTTAACCAGGAAAAGTATTAGGCCTAGGTCTAATACCTCGGAGGCAAGGCAAGGCACAAACTAACAGGGCTCGGAAAGCTCCCAAGCCAACCTATGCACGAACCTTCTGTAGAAGAGTAGCGATGAAAAGTAGAATAAGGAAATACGAAGATGAAGAAGGGAAAGAAGGTAAAATTCTCTTCAATCCTAAAACCCTATGGGAAAGACGAAGATGAAGAAAGAAGAGAAGGTAAACGCTCTTCAATCCTGCAGCCCTATAGTGTCACCTCCACTAGGAGGCTCTACCGGTTAACTAGGAAAGATATTAGGCCTAGGCTGAATACCCCGGAGGCAAGGTAAGGGGCAGACTAACAGGAGGCTCGAAAGCTTCCAAGCCAATCTATGCGCGAACCTTCCGTAGAAACGTAGAAGAAGAAGAAAAAGGGAAAAGAAAGAGAGAAGAGAGAGCGAGAGAAGAAAGAGAGAGAGGGAGAGGGAGTGAGAGACAAGAAGAGGGAGGTGGGCGGCCTAGCCGCTTGCCTCCTGGAGAGAGAGAGAGAGAGAGGGAGAGAGAGGTGGGCAGCCCAACCGCCTTCCTCTTGAGGAGAGAGAGGTAGGCGGCCCAGCCACTTGCCTCCTGGGGGGACAGAAAGAAAGGGAAAGAGGGAGAGAGAAAAGAGAGAGAGAGAGGGGGAGGAGGGCAGCTATGCCGCCCACCTCAAGGAGGGAGGGAGGGAGAGTAGGAAGAGAAAGAGAAAGAGAGGGAGAGAGACAAAGAGAGATGAGAGAGAAAACGAGAGAAAGAAGAGAAAAAAGAGAAAAAAGAGAGAAGAGAGAGAAAGAGAGATTGACCGAGTACCTAGAGAGTGAGGTAGTGGCTCGAACCCGGCAGCTAGGTGTGCTCCCACAGTCCCTTGAAAGCTCTTTGAGAGGCTAGGGTCCTATGTTCAACGGCTAAGATGTAGGGCTAAGTGGGTGAGCTAGTTTGTAGGGAGTAGGGAGTAGGGTGAGTGTGAGTTAGGCTAGTCTAAAAGGGACTATGGTGTATAATGGACTAGAGAGTATGAGTATGGACTAGGGTAGACTAGGGAGTAGGGGGGAGTATGGGCTAGGGTAAGCTAGGGAGTCTGGGGCAGTATAGGTTACGGTACAAAGTTTGGGGGAGTATGACTTAGGGTAGGCTACAAAGTATGGGGAAGTATGAGTTAGGGTAGGCTAGGGAGTATGGGGGAGTATGGGTTAGGTTAGGGTAGGGTAGGGTAGGGTAGGGTAGGGTACGGTTAGGGTATGTTAAGGAGTATGGGGGAATATAGGTTAGGGTAGACTAGCGAGTATGGGGTAAGGAAGAGGGAGGTTTGGGAGTGTAGAGTTTGGAAGTGAAAAGTCAAAGGGCAAGCTCTCAAATGGGGAAAATATTCTCTCTCCTCTCTTGAAGCAAGAAGGAAGCATAAAGCTAAGCTAAAAGGGGCAAAGCTTATATTTTTTTTTTGTCTCCTTTCCAACTTAGGTTACAAATGAAGAAAAGAACCTTATATATGACCTCCACGAAACAAGGGTGGATGACCAAAAGACAATAAAATTGCTCAAAAATAATAATAAAATGAATAAAATAATCAATCCCCTTTTGGGGCACAATGACCATTTTGCCCTTGGCCAGAATCTTGGAAATGACAAAACCATCCCTCCAAAAGGGGCCTCTTGCCATAGCCTTGCCTCGGGGCCTTTTTCGATGCTTTACGTCGACATTCCGAAACGATCCAACACCATAGAAATGTTGTTCATCTCGAGACGATTGATTTGATGTCCACTTTGAAGCTTGAATCGAACTTTTGGTAATGAACCCAAATATCCAGCCAAGTCCTTAAACTTGAAAACTTTGATCATTTATGTAGCTTGATTTGTTGTGTTCTTGGTCGATTTCTTTATCACAAACCGAAGGGGAAGTCATGATCGTTTTGCAACGAAAACACCCCAATTTGAGTGTCGATTGATCATTTTCTTAATTTGACAGGTCACAAAATGGAATTCCAACGTCAGAAAATCGTGCCTTCTTGCGAGCTTGAATAAGGTGTCTTCCCAACGTCAATCTTGAACAAACTTTACCTCATATTGAAGCCCTTCGAGTCGCGGTCGCAATGGACCCGCTCATGAAGTCATCCGATGTCAGGGCTTCGAGAAATGATCACGGGAGTAAAGATGTGTCTTGTTTTAAAAATTCTGCCATTTATACATTTTTGTCAAATTTCACTCTAAGATTTCTTCCGTTTCGGGTATCGTCTCGAGTCGTTCTATATGTTAAAACGTTCATCTTGATGAAACAAATAATATACTGATATTTAAATAATATACTGATATTTAGGCTTGATTGGCCTCAAAACGAAGAAGTTATGACCTCACAAAGAACTCTCGTTTTCAAAAAGCACAGTTTCCATGAATAGAAACTGGTTCACTAAGGCTGCGCAGGAATAGTGTAAAGCCTACCCATGTTTGGCAAGTTGGGCCTAGAAGGGTCCAGAAAGGTCCAAATGAGCTAAATTTTGGTATTCTGGTGTTTTTTGACCTTCTGAATCCATTGGTGGTGGTCTGATGATCACCAGAGACTTTGACAATATAGCTCTAGTTATGAGGCATTTTTTGGTATGCAAGAGAGTGGCACTGCAAAATGCATTTTTCTTTCTGATCTGCTTTATCTTTGTCTGATCGAGACGAAACTTGGAGGGCATCCTCAGGATATCAAATACAACCCTCACATGCTTTTCGAGGCCAAGATAACACATTTTCAAATTCTTCCAAAATTAGGCTTATTGGTGCCGTCTTCCATAGTCCATAGGTGTGACTGGCACCCATGGGCATAGCATGCCAAGAAATTAGTGCATCAAAAACACGCACTAATAGCTTTCCCTGCGGGATGTCGCTCTTTGAGATGAGCGAGAAGTGTGACATTCGGAACAAAATCGCTCGAGTTCATCTTTCAAATCATTACCAAGGCATTCTTTTTTCTCCCAACATTTCTTTATTTGACATAGCTATCAGCGTCCTCATGCCGCTTGGAAGAGGGAGGTTCGCAGCTAGCCTTTCACGCAAGGGGTAGCTTGTGGTATGTTTGGTTCCAACAACTGGGGGCCTTCTTTGGGGCTTGATTCCCAATATATCAAAATCTGGATGTGTCCAACAGTCAGTGGCCTCGCTTAAGGGCTTCATTCCCAATTTGTCAGGATTTCAAGGAGGGCTAGT